ATTTATTGCAAATGTGTGTATACAACAGATTATGTCAACTCACGCCTGTACAAGTGAAAATTTTCGAAACTACTCTGACAAAAAGGCCGATGTGCTTTGCTCCACAATAGAACGCAATCTGTATCAACATTACAGATGTGTGAATTGTAATGTTTACTTTGTTACATCATTTAAAAAGTCGACCCACATTGGTTATATAATAACATTTGAGATAACGAAATGATTTTACTTATTGAGAAACTTACCTTTTTGAACTTAGAATAAAATTAAACAGATGCTAAGAATATTTTTTTTTAATAAAAAATTTCATCATAATTCATAATATTACTTAAATGTGTAAAGTGGTGGATTTAATTTGGTGTATAAATCGATTCTTAATTCCAACAAATAAACCGATAGTAATATTTTAATTTTCCTTTTTTTTTTGTTAATAGGTAGAATGTCCAAGTAATTAAGGTATACTCAGAAATTATTATTTATTTTTATTTTCCTTAAAATTTGTTTATCAAATCTCAAGGTAATCATAGGTTGGGCTTTAATACGATCTTTTAGCTTTAATTTAGTGTATAAATTATTTCCGTATGGTATTAATAAGCAAACCTTGAGCGATTTATTTTTAATTCGCACTTTTTTTGCAGGATTGAAAATCTCTTTATCCTAAGAATATTGCCTGTATATTTATCCTTCAAATTTCTTCTTCAATAAATCTCAAGGTAAGTTTGTAAATATTATTTTTATTTGGTAAAATTATCAACTCTATTTGGGAAAGAAAATACATCGAAGAATGAAGAGACAATTCAGCCAGAAACAGATGGAGAACACAGAGGCGCTGAACAATCAATATGGAATGAGGAAGTTTTTCAAAGAATTTAAATCTAGAATTAAAAACTGTAGAGGCATAGATGACAGTATAATGAATCAAAAGGTTTCAATTCTGAATAGATGGGCACACTATACAAGAAAAGTGGAGAAAAGTTGGAAACGATACATCGTTTTCATATCGATATAAATTGATCAGATCGATATCGGATAAGGAACAAATGCCTCAAGAATGGCGATGTGGAATAATATGGCCACTACACAAAAAGGGCAACCTTTTCAATTGCGATAACTACAAAAAATAACTCTTCTGGCAGAAGCATACAAAATAATAGGCAATGCACTGTAGAACAGACTTCAGTCCTATGCTCAGGAAGTGGTCGGCGAGTGCCAGTGTGGATTCGCCCCCATGCCGCAACGATACAAAGAATATAAATTTGGGTGCCAAATCCTCGGAAGATCCATATGATGGTTACTGTATGGTACTACACACGAGAACATGGGGAACATATCACAGTCCGGGCAATGGTATCGTGTTTCGCGTCTAATTTGATTGTCACAACTATCGCGCATCATACTGCGCACCACACACTGTCTAGTGGGATTCTATTTCTTTTTAGTTGCTGGAAGATATTCAGGAAAATGCCGTCCGATATGTTTCTGAGGAAGAAGAACGTTGGAAGTCGATCCACCCTAGTTAGGGATGCAGAATTGTCATGCTCATTTTTGCATGGTTTCCCGAATTATATCCATCCTATATTCAGTGGCGGTGTCCCCTCTCCTTTTCGGTAAATTACAAATGAGTTCCATAACGCTAAATGGAAGAAAATCTTCTTGTACTACTTCTTGCGCTGTTTTTTTGAAATTGGAACGAGTGACTTTGAGCTTAAACCAAACGGAACGTAAAATTTAGATTTACCCAGCCGCTGAACATATTCTGTGTGAATGCGTTGCCAGACGCCGCCTAAGACATAAAATTTTCGGAAAGGTTCGCCTGACACATACTGACATAAAGAAACAAGACCTTGGAGCAATACTAAGGTTCATCAAAGACTTAGATTTGCCTTAAACCTTTGGAGGGCTTAAGTTACAATAGATCTTATAGGTCGCTGTGGCGAGAGAGGCCGCTCCCCGCAGCCCGACAGCAATAATAATAATAACTCAGATAAGCGCCAAAAATAAAATAAAATTTGTCCGTACGTTTTTAATGCTATGATAGAATTTGGGATACTAGAGAATCTCGCACGTCTAACCCAAATGACAATAACAGACATGACATCATCTATTAGTATATAAACAGAAGTCTCCAAGAGCTACCAAACAATGCATGGCCTAAGTCATGTGAGACAGGGAGACTCACTGTTATGCATACTGTTTAATCTCGTACTGGAAAAGGCAACTCGAGAAATTGGAATAAGAAGGTACTATCTTTTATAAATCAAAACAACTGCTAAGAGACCCACCAAGTAACCCTTTGCTAACAATTCAGTTTGGGGAATACTTCTTCGAGCAACTTGATAGTTTTGTGTACCTTGGAAATCAGACGACGTATCAATATCGCAAACTGGTGTCTTCATGGTCTTCAGATACATTTGCACACGAGCTCTCACTCACGATATAAAGATAACTATATACGCTAATAGATAGGCGTATGATTCGGCATCAGGTCGATTCTCACATACTGAGCAGAGTGGTAGACATTAAGTTAAATGATGAAAAATGATGAACGAGCACTAGATGTATTTGAATGTATTGTCCTCAGAAAGATTTTCGGACCCGTAATCTAATAGGGCTATTGGCATAGATAATATAATTTGGAGTTATATTCGATTTACGAGGACTCCGATATAGTTAAAACCATGTAGATAGACTTGTGATAAGCGGGTTATATGTATCATATACCAGATTCGGAGGTCACCAAGATAGTCACGACAGGCAAATTGGAGGGAAGAAGAAATGGAAGCTGCCGTATGCGCGTTGGTTGGATGGTGTCGAGTATTACCTTAAGAGTCTGATGTTCTACTTAGTCATACCTTACAGTCCAGATGATGGGAGGTTGCTAGAGACAGGGCGAAATGGAACAAACTTTTGGAGAGCTTGCCAGGACCCATAATGGATAATCGAGCCGACTACCTCAACTAAACTAGGAAAAACTGCAGCATACAAATTACTAGGCAATATATTGTACAACAGACTTCAGTCCTCTGCTCAGTAAGTGGTCAAGTACCAGCACGGATTCGCCCCCGAAAAGTCGTCTATCGACAAAATTCCTTCATGGAAGCAAATTCTGGAAAAAACTTTGAACATAACATCTCCACGCACCATCTATTTGTTGACTTTAGAGTAGCGTACTACAGTGTCACTAGATTCGCCCTTCCTAAGGCGATGATAAAATTTGGGATAGCAGAGAAACTCGTACGTCTAACTCAAATGACAACAATAGACGTAACGTGATCTGTTAGGATACAAACAGTCTCGGAGAAACTTCCAAATAAAACAAGGCTTGAAACAGGGAGACTTATTATCATGTGTACTTTTTAATCTCGCATTTGAAAAGACAATCCGAGGAATTTTAATAAGAAGGGTCGGCACGATGTTTTATAAATAGAAACAATTGCTAGGATATGCCGATGATATTGATATTGTTGCAGTAAAAGAGACGTGGAGGAATGCTTCTTCGCTTTGGAACCAGCTGTAAACAGAGTAAGTCTGATTGTTAACCAGCAGAAGGTAAGATACTGGCGAATACTACCTCGAACAAGTTGATGGTTTTGTATACTTTGGATCTCTCATGAACACTACCTACAAATGCAGGAATGAAATCAGACTATGCATCAATATCTAAAACAGATATCTTCATGGTTTTCAGACACACTCCTCACGAACTCTCCCCTGCATGACAAAGATAACAATATACAAGACGCTAGTGAGGCCGGTCCACACATACGGATAGAGATAGGCGTGGACATTGAGTCAAAACAATAATCTTTGCACGTAAGACCCTCAGAAAAAATTTTCGGAATAGTGATCAAACAGGACCAGTATCTTGGTGGTGGAAACCATGAAGGTAAGTCGCTTAAGATGGGCAGATCATGTACATATATCGTATACCAGATTCAGACGTCACCAAGAAAGTCACGACAGGTAATCCGGAAAGAAGAAGAAATGGAAACCGCCCCTGTGCATGTTGGATGGATGGTGGCGAAGATGTCCTTAAGACCCTGACGGTGTCCAGATGGTGAGAGGTTTGCTAGAGACTTTCAAGAATGGAAGAGACTTTTGAAGCAGGATCCACAATAGATTGTGGAGACGATGATGATGATGAAAATTTTCATCTATATCAACACTTACCTTTTAGTCAACTAAACTAGGAAAAATCCTGAAAAATTATTAAATAAAAAAAAACAATTTTATATATTTTAAAATAATAAATTTTGTTTATTTTTCTCTCTTTTCAATACACGTTGATTTGGATTTTTTGCATTTTTCTAATGTGACTTAATATCGACTGGCCTATTAGTCCCTCACAAGAGGAGCATCAAAACAAAAAAAAAACTCTAACAAAATACAATAATATTATTAATAATAAAAATAATAAAAATCATATTTTTATAATTATGTACAACGTCTCGTCAAAGTAAAAAGTTACCTATACACTTATTTAGCGGAACTCTTTCAATTATTGAGTACATTTATTGTTCATCAAGCGTAGTATACACCTTGTAAAGGATGATTAAACGAGCGGTTGTATACTCGATTTTTTAAGGCACGTTCATTCACACTTTTTTGACTCCGACAGAATCGAAAAAAAAAACGAAAACGCAGTACGGCGAAAAGAACTATTAATTAAAAAAAAGTACTAAATATAATAAATAGCGACCATATCCACAAAAAAACGAGAGCTATCTACAAAGTGTAAAAGGACTATTTAAATTATTTAATAAAAAATAGATGTTATTAGGAATTTCTTTGTAACTGGCCAACGAGTTCATTAAAACAGTAACAACAATGGAGCAGATCACCTATGAAACTAAATTTTTTATATTACAGGTTTGTACAAAACTTTAAACATAAACAAGGAATAGAAAAATAGACTAACGACGTAGAAAAATTATTAAATATTTTATAATAATAGGTTCTTTTTTTAATAAATCTGTTTTTGTTTTATCGTATGTTCAATAAAAGATATAATTATTTTATTATCTTTTTATTTAAGTTGGTATTAATTGAGATTCTTTTATTGAACATACTATAATATACGATATGTATACTGAGTACCTTTAGTTCATACTCTTATAATCGTAATGGTAACATTTTCATACAGTAAAAAGAATATTGTACTTAAAAAACCGTTTTATACACTTCATTATTATTTCATTTAGTTTGGGTTTCTGTTTTCTTAGGGGTACTCAGAAATTGAGAAGAAATGATTTATATTTCGAAAGGAAGAACACAGTGGTGGTTGATCCAGGTTAGTATCACACCTTAGTGGTCAAATCCAAAGGATTTAATCTAACTAATTTGATCCTTTTAATGGGTTTTTCAGAATCACAGTCACTTTCGTCGGCTTCACTTCCGGCTCCTCGTTCTGTACTATCCGAAGCCGATCTATCACTCGGTACTGGTGACGACCCTCGGTCACTGGCCGGTTTCATGCTTAAGTCGATAGGATCTTCTTGTACCGCTGGTATTGAAATGGGCGAAGTACGTTGAGATGATTTCATAATGGCTTCAAGTCCAAGCACTAATCTTTTATTCAAAGCGTCGGTATCGGCGTTATGGTTCGGTATTAATTTGTTGTTATTGTTAATATGAGGTTGTAGGAGACCTGGATAAACGGGAGGGTACCCGGAAGGAAATAATAATCCAGGAGGTGTTAATAAAGGATTATGAAGAAGTGTATGAAATAAAGGTGGAAACCTCCTTGCTTCGTTTACTTCAACAGAAGAATCCGAATTATGAGATTCCGGTGGACTAACAGACGGAGATGCTGCATGTTTATAATCATCTAAACCTAAGAGCATTAATTCCTCTTTCGTTTTAGGTAAGTGGAGGAACGAAGTATGGAAGGGTTGACCAGGAAGTAAACTGAGCGGTAAGGGTTGTCTTTGAGGAGGTGACATTCTATGTTCCGGTTTCATTCCAACACCCGTCATAGAACTACTTTCGTTGTGTTGAGCTTGTTGTTGCTGTTGCTGTTGTTGTTCTTGAAGTAAACAGTGAATTTTAAACCAATTTGATCTTCTACCATATCTCGAACCGCTTTTTGACATTCCCACAACCAAACATTTTTTTAATCTACATGCTTTGCATGCTGTTCTGTTCTTTTTGTTGATGACGCATGTTCCGTTATTTTTACATTCAGATATCGTACTTAAATTGTTGTAGGAGCGCCCAAAGAATGACTGCAACAAAGAAAAAGGAGGAATTAATACGTTTTTAAAGACTTTTAATTTTGTAATATAAAGCAATAAAAGAATTATCTTAGTGAATTGTCAGTTGGTTTCTAGACCATCAAGTACATAATGGTAATGTTACTAAGAGAGGAAAATTGCAGAACAATGTCGGTTACGTGGGCATAAAACTTTGTTTCGCAAAAAAAAACTGTTACAATGTCACTTCTTAGCACAGGCCAGTTAGAAAAAAGTGAAAAGGGCGGCATTGGAGCTCTGGTTAGTTGGGCATTTGGTGCAGTGGGTCGGAAGCAGTGACGTAACGTAAAGAGTCGGGTTCTTTCGCGCACTTAACACTTTTCCCTCGGTCTTCGCATCACCGCCCAACTGTGTAATCGCCGGCTAATTGCATGCAATTATATTCAAATGCGGCTCGCGTCCCCAGAAGTTATGCAAATCGGGCCCCGACGACACAATGCCCGAAGAACACACCGCGAACCGCTCCGAATGTGGGTACGCTTCTCGGTTTGAACGAGTAATTTATGTCCCGTTTTGTAACGTCTAACCTTTTATTTTAAGCCGTTAATTAATTTAATCGGGAACAAGATTTATGGCCTGTTAAGTAAAAAACGTTGTGGCCAATTATATTTCCCCTCTTCTGTCTCTCTCTAACCACGGGTATTTAACAATTACATGCTTTGTTAACCGCGTGGCCTATATTACCTTTTTTAGTAGCATATAAAAACCATACGGAATGCAACAAACATTATTAAATTATAACCCATTGTTAAAACCGCGAGAGAATCGTAACATTTTGCATTCCATCGATGATTAATTAAATTTATCCTGAACGCTTTGACGTCACACAACTAAACTCAGAATAAAACCAAAACCAAATTTATTCCAATCGCGCATCCTTATGAATACCGGCGATTATACACTGGTCATACACGTCATTAGGTGCGGAAAACGATCAATTTACATATATCCAATTCAAATAAACCGGAGCGATCGATGTAAAGGATCGGCATTTAATCGGAACTGACGTGCTTCAATGCAACCAAATCAACTTCGATTAATAAACAACGCTTTTTTAAGGTTTACTAGCCGACAAAATGAATTCGTCATGCTTAGTTGCCAAAGAAAAATGGTCTTTACTCGCTCTAGATCCGAAAGCTTTATTAAAAACTTATTTATGTTCAATCATATATCGTATTATAGTATTTATTCTATAAATTAATTAATTGAACAACTGTTTAAGTTATAGTAATTCAAATTTTCAGTGTCTGAAAATTACGTCTTTTAGATGTCATTTAGATATGCATTTCTTCAATCTGCTGTTGAGGTTTCAAATTGATCGTTCCATCATCTCAGCTGAAATACCAGTACTAATTGGGTGATTTTGTGGACAGGAAATGTTATGGAATCCTGTTGAGATAATATAGATACTCAACAATCCTCTTACAGTTACTACTGATTCACCACTACTGTCTTGAACTGTGCGATATCCATCATCCTATTGAAACCATATTTTGTGAAATTGTGGTCAATGGTTTCATGTAGGTGCAACAAAAATATGACAACATCTCAACATACCGTTACGAAATGATAGTCACTAAACTACTCTTCATTACCCTGGTAATTGTTCACGTAGCCTGTAAGATAAAAATGCTCATCCACAACTTGTCTAGCAACTCATTGACATCATTTATATTGCTGACAAAATTGCTGAAGCTCTTATTGCATATTCTGTTGCTTGTTTATGGAAAAAATTTTAAATCAAAGTAGAGCAATAAGCTAACACTGTTAAGAAGCATCATATTGAACACCTGCTTATTTCTATGATTCGTTGTTAGGTTTTCTAGCTTCCTTCCTTGACATGCTACGTTTTTTTAGCGTCAACTTACTTCTAAATGAAACACAACCAGAAGGAAGGACACCTTTACACGTTAAGGACAGGAATAACTGAAAGGAAAAATTAGCAGCGCCGGGACTCGAACCCAGGTCTCCCGTTTGCCGGACGGTTGCACTGACCTCTATGCTACGCCACAAGGTGTAGGGAAATTAACAGACAAGGATTCCTTTCAACCTGTACATTTCTGGACCGCATTAATGTCATTCACATGCACAATTAAAGGACCAACGTCACAAGATTTTAATTCCGGAAAAGCCGGTGAAGCCAAATTATTTAAACAATAAGTGGAATTAATATAAACGTGTATGTAACATATAAATGAAACACAACCAGAAGGAAGGACACCTTTACACGTTAAGGACAGGAATAACTGAAAGGAAAAATTAGCAATTCCTGTCCTTAACGTGTAAAGGTGTCCTTCCTTCTGGTTGTGTTTCATTTATATGTTACATACACGTTTATATTAATTCCACTTATTGTTCAACTTACTTCATTTGTTCATGTTAAAAATGTGCGGTTGATATTTTGTAGCCAAATGTTACAAACATTCCACGCAGCATTTCTTCTTTAAAATTTAGATGTGGTAAAATTATCAAATCATAATAACTTGAAAGATACTGCTTAACATCATTTGTCCACTGCAATTTTTGAGTATATTCTGCAGAACTTTAGCTACATTATGTTTCAGTTACAAAAGGTTTATTTGCGTTCCTCATTTTTTACCTCTTTTCCATTATAACAAAAATCCTTACTGTAGGGTGCAAAATCAATTAAATACTTGGCTGTTTTCGTATGACCGTCACTATTATAACTTTCATATTTCACATCGTATTCTGTTTTTATCTTTGAAATATTTTATGAATTATCAAGTTATCGTCATCAAGTTTTGTTTCGAAATACAAAGAAATTGTGCTCAACGATTCATTATCATAAGAAGAACATAAGCAAAGCAATATGATTGAAAAATGAGTTCTAATTCGATCCCCTACAATATTGCTCTCATCTACATTTACTCTAAAATGTAAAAGAATAGAATTGTTAAAGATGAAAGGTTCCCAAATTTTGCAACATTTTGGCAAGAAACGAAAATTCATCTTTCCTCCCTAATAAAGCAATATTCTTTTAATATTTAGGGAATGTTCTATGTATTTAGCAACACTAGCGGAGTGGTATCATCAGTAGAAATTGTGTCAAGTCACACTCAGTTCTAATATGCGAAAGTTAATCAATTTTATGATTCATAAAAATTCTTACACCTTTGCGTTGGAGCATTCACTATTTTTGTAGCAATAATACACATATACCAGTATCTTTTTATATAATATCAAGAATTTAAACAATCCTAGTTACAGCAATATTTATACGTTAATGCATTTTTCTTGATTACTAGTGCATTTTTGTTTAGACTGTTTTCTTAAATTACTGCAACTTGAATTTATCATGTACACTTGTATAAAAGCTATGGCCCATATTCTTGTAATATTCTTGTTAAAAAGAAACATCTATCTATACTAAATTATATGTCAAAAGTAGATTGAGTGATAGAGTGCCGCATCAAAGAGCATAAAAGATTAAAACCACATAAATTAGAAAATTGGAATATTCGATGTACGCAAACAATATGATACCTCAATCTGTGGTTGATTATTGATTTAATATTACCAAATTACGTGGTTCTGGAGTGTAAATGTTCTTGATGAGCTTGGCGATTGTTTGAGAGCTGTTGTGGCTGTGCTGACACGGTTGAGTAAAATGCATACGCATTCAAGCATGTTTAATGTGTTGAGGTGATTTTTCCTAATGAATAGTTTTAAAATCAATTTCCTTAACTCATAACGTTGTTAGTATTCTAAGCATGACAGCACATTAAGTTTTTAGAGTAAGCATATGTATTGGGTTCAATTTTTGTATTATTTGGTCATGACGAAATATGAATGGTTTTTGATGAACGATTATGATCAAAATAGCGTTGATGAAATACAACACGAAGAGCATACAAGAGCAAAATCACCAAATACCAGTAAAACCAGCATTTCTGTCTTCTTAGAAATGCCTTGTATGATGCAGAGATTATAAGATTGCACTAACAAGAATATCAACAACGCTGCTTTACGCAACGGAATACAACGATAAATTTAGGATAGTAATAGCAGCGCAGAAAATAAGGAGAACTTATTTTTGTATACCTTCTAGTAATCTTAGATGTGGAATGCAAAATTTGGTAAATGTCAAAATATTTTACGATACATCACTACTCCAAGTTTGATAGAGATCATACTAAGTTTCTACAGAGTTCGAACAATGCAAGATATGTTTCATGCCTTTGTCGGTATTAGTACATTATTCTCTCGAAATATATATCACCAGTGTCGAGATACTGTAAGCCGTTAATGATTTGTGTCCAGATGAGATTAGAGTTTCTAAATCCGTAAGGACAACTACCATCGTAAAACAAGCTGAACTAAGCAATATTAAACTTTCCAAACTAAATTGTTAATGTAATAAGCGAAGTAAGAGTTTTACTATTTTTGTGTTGAGCTTTACCGGCACGTGGGGTGTATACTATTTGAGATATATCGGATATATTTGTTGGAATTTGCAAGGTACATTATTGTCTCTGTACATAATCCGTATTTTCACGTTCAATATCAATGCTAATAGAGTATGGCCATAAAATTTATAGTATGGAGAACCATTTTTTTTACAACTCCAACTTCCAAGGGTGGTCAGTCAGATTTACCTTTAGCCTCCAAGGTGAAATGATTACAAGTTTATAACAGTATTCAAAATGTAACTTGGTAGTCATAGGATAGAATTTTTTAAATTTTGATTTTTTTAGAATTTTCCTAATCAAAAGTTTGGCTACAAAAAAAGCAAGATGCTTACTACTTGAATAGCCAAAAAATGTAAATGCATCATAATCTCGATAAATTCACCAATAAGGAACAAGAGCCTGATACTTTATACGATCAATCTAGAAATTGTGTTAATACCATTATCATTTTTTCATTCATGGTTTCGTACTATTGATATTTTCAGAAATAGTGGCCGACGAGGTTTTGCTATATTCTTCGCAATACATTCTTTATAATACAATTAAAGTTCAAAAGAACAGAATGAGCAAATTTTATTGGGAACATATCTGTAATCCCATTACTATTTTGTAGTAATGGTGATTGTAGAAAATTCATCCGTATGGAACGATTAATTCTAATATGCAACCAAGATGTCAAAAGTTTCGAAGGTATGCAAGAATAGTGCATGGTTAGGTGTTATCATTTATGCCAAATATTGTTGCTTGTGTTACCATATTTTGATAACATTTAAAATAGTTTTTGATTATAATTTCACTATAAATATAACTGGGGTACAATAGATGCCAGTGGCAAGAATTAAGGAAATTCAGAACAGAATTAGCGATACTCTGGCAGTGATTGGGTTGGGTTGTTTAAAAGACTATTTGTGTTGGCGTACTCGTGGAAAAGTTTTGTTATAGCTATTGAAAAAACTCTACGTTCATTCAAAAAATGTAAACAAAACTACGATAATGAATAGCTTATCTTAGAATAAGAGCACATTTGTGTTCTTATTCCTTGGTTGAAAAGGAGATGTCTGATTATTTTCATGTTGCGGATTATAATAAATAATTTGTAAAATGACTACTTGTTTTATAAAATGTCAAATAGGTATATATAAATGTTAATATAAAAGAAAACAACTTATAAAATAAAATATGAAGTAACAAAATGGATTTGAGTTTAAGAGAAAACACGCTTATGATCAAAGAACACCAGAGACTTAGTTTATTGAACTGTACAACTTGCGCTTAAAAATATCTTGAGGTTCATTGATGAGATGACATTATTAGCATTGTTTTATATTTTTGTGCTAAATAAAAGTTAAGAACATCATTAAAACTCAAATCCAGAAGGCGATACGAATGTGACACGTAAATAATAAATTGACTTCTTAATTAGACCTATTTGAAGACGATTTACTTAAAAGGTGCTAAAAAAAGTAAATTTTTTTAAGTGATATTATCGTAGACACGTATCGTGTGCGGCACGCGTGACGAGTGCCCCATTTGGAGACATACACATAGAATTACGTCATACGATTCGATTTCCGACCTGCTGTTGCATGAAAAGTCGGTCGGATTACGAGTTTTCAGACGATCCATTGTGTCCGAGCTTCGACGGCGACTAAAGCAGCGCTTCTTCGCGTCCGTTCCTTCGTCCGTTGTTGTTGTTACGTTGACGAGCCACATCGTTTCGAATTGCGTGCTCCGTTACGTAATGGGACGTGCCGTTCGATAAAGGAAAAGTAATCAAAATTTCACGGTACTCATTAATGGATTACCGTGGTTAGTTCGTTCGATAGATGATACGCTTTGCAATAAGAAAACAGGTTAATTGAAGTGTTTTGCATGTACCTACTCTTATAGAATGAATTGATCCGGTTTTCAAATCGGCAACTCTAAAAGAATCTCTCCTTTCTATTTTATAGATAGTTACTTAGATTTATAATCAAAATAAATCCTGCTGATTGTTAGGGTTTCTCCTCAATTAATCACGTTTATTGAATATTAAAGTCCTACTACAAAAGATTAAAACACTCTGAGTGATTCAAAAAGGGTTTTGTTGGGGTTAAGTAAAATGTTTTGTTCAAAATAATATATTTTCTAGTAAAAATAATGTTGATGTTAGTCAAGTGACATATACCGTTCTAATTTTTTTTCTTTAAACCGTATTTCAACGATTTAACGTCCGCTTTTCATTAAGTAAATTTACATCAGAATTTACTTAAGTCTCAAATGCATTAACATAACTTTTATTTTAATCGCTGTCCATTTGCAGTGTGCTCGAATAGAGGCCGATCCGAAGTTGCTATACACGTTGCGTTGTTGTCGGTCTTCGCGTCCCCGTTTAATTAATTAATTTTGGGAGCGGTCGGATTCGTTTAAAAGACGAAGAAGAAGTAGATGAGAAAAAAATCTTTTGCTTACCTTGCATCCTTCACATGTGAACGCCCCAAAGTGAAAACCAGCGGCCGGCTCTCCGCAAACTTTGCACTGTTGGTTCATCTGTAACGTAAAAGAAACAAAAACGTTACTTTCGACATGTTACGTTCACTAACTAGCGATGATATTTTTTGTATTGATGTATCGACTTTGCCTAATACTAAGTTACACAATAAAAAAAATAAAAATAAATTAATGGTATGTTTGTGCATCGTTTTTTTTTTCTATCTGAAATTATCTTTGAAAATTGGTTGAAATTGTGCTATATAAAAAGGTCGTCAATCAAATATTTACGACTGGTTGTCATCTAATGGTCTACAATTATGCCACTACTTAACTGGGTTTTAAGTATTTACAGTAAAATTGACGTTTTTACGAGTATTGAGTTTATAAATTAGATTGAATATTGATGGGTAATGTTCTTGTCATTACTGATGATGTGGTTATTTCCGAGAAAATCCTATTAAAATTTCCTTTAACGATTTAGGATTCCCAAGTTACTTAACTGTTCATTTTTTTTCAATGCTCACGGTTTTATTATAATAAAGAAAAACAATTTGGAATTTTAAAACAGCAAAGTAAATCTAAACAAACGGTGCCATAAAAACCAAACACCTACCGTAATTGCGAGCCGAGCATAATTGCAAGTAATTGTGCCGCAACCGCTATTACCAACAACGTTTTTCCCTCCTTACTGTACCTTTTGTGGACTCTCGTAATAAAACGTTAGATAATAGCTCTATTGCCACCGGCGGAGATCCCGTACATAAACATACGCACACTCCATCATTATTGGAAATTCGCAGCAGAACTAATTCGAATCTTTGCTCTTCAAAATGCTTAAGTATTCCTTTATTGTTTTGCATCCGGGGTAAAAAAGCCCGGTGCGATTCCCGTCGTGTATACCAAAGCAAATCTCCGTTACAAAAATGAATTAACCAAACGCAATGGGACACAAAGCTCCTCTTGGGACTGCGACGTGACTTGCAAGGTTCAACTCTTTGTGAACACTAACGGGCGTGATGATACGTGTTAAAGCAAACATCAAACTATGTAATGCGTCGTGAAATCGCGACACGAGATACACACCACATCATCTAACAGATGAGAAAGTAAAAAATGGAAGTGTGTGTTTGCAGCTGTTCTGCTTAGAAAAGAAAAAAAAGATTTATAACGGTTGATATGTTAAAAAAGTTAAAAAGGTTTAGTGGAAGAAATAGGTATTGTTGTTGAGTAATTGAAGACAACACATTATCGTTCGAAAATAGTACGGTGTCAACACAGAAAATGATAGGTTCTTAAGAATCCAGTGTAGCGGAACTCCACATGGTTGTTGCAATTGGAAAAATAGGTAGAAAGACGATATACAGGAAAATGTTGTAATCGACATTATCGGTTTGGAAATCAGTGGGCCACCAGATGCTTCGCCGTACTGCCACAGTCCGAATGATACATAAAACAGTCTCAAGGAAAGTGAAACCCATTGTTTGTTCTGGTGACCCAGCTGGTTGTTGCCGCCGCCGATGGACGTCGACGCAATTTCCATGCCGGACGCGTACTGGACGCGACCAACATAAACTCCGTCATTATCGCGTTTGCAACACGACGAAGCCGCCGCGTCGCCCGAAATTAACCTAGTGCAACCGCGCGTTATTTTGCAACGATGACCGAGTATCTTTGACCGATCGACGTTTAAGTCAATTGCTTACGGGTTAATTGATAAGGATAATTGGTAGGCGATTCGGGTAATCGGGTAGGCCTTGGACCAACTTAAAATTAACTTTATATGGAACGAATATCGAGGTTCAATTATACATATTTTTTTATACCTCGCCTATTCAATGTTAAAAAACGCAATTTATTTCAAACTCACGATTTTAATTGTTATTCCACGCATTTATAATATAATTGTTTAAGTAATTGAAAATAATTATTATTATTTGCTTACAGCTAAATATCTTTGAATGTTCCTTTTATCCAAAGAAAAGTTATGTTGTAGTATACGGTAAAAAACTCTGAAGTTGCATTTTGTAATTTAGATTTTTGTCTGATCGTACTGAAAAACATTACCGAAAAAAAGGTACCGCACCGCATCGAATTCTGCACAGATTCGTCGGAGGCCGAAGAGTTGCCCACCTATCACATAATGAGGAGATCAAAAGTCGCCGAGGCGGCGATCGTAGCTACGATCAAACGACTAAAGGTGTTGAATTGAGCTTTCATGACGACGAAGGAGGTGGAACCGCTTAGTGGTCCGCGAAGAGAGGCGTCCTCGTCGGGCCCCATCAATCACAAAGCACCTGATATTTCGATCCAGATATCCCTTTTGTGCGTGCCGCCTCCAGATGCATATGTGTGCCGCCCCAGACACAGCGATAAACGCTTGAAGAACTCGAGGGCTGGAGAATCAAAAAAGTAAGAAGAAAAAATAAAATTGTTATTTTTTTGAAGTCTTAAGGTTGTTTTCATGCCTCTCGATTTTCTCGTACGGTAAATCTAGTTCAAAGTTAATCGGTGTAATACCGTGAAACCGCACTTGCTCTTAGTCATTAGAGGTGAAGCGTGGAAATTAAGCAACGTATTGTGTATAATTTCGCGAGGATGTTGCATAATTTTGTTTGCCGGCGAAGAGCATGGTCAAGAACGCCATTAAGAGATACACGAATAGGGACGTTCGACCCATTTAACAAACTTTTTTAAAAATAAATCTTATTATGAGCTAATAATCTCTTTGTGAATGAACATTTTATCGAAAAATTTTTCGTTGAATACAAAGTACCTTCGTCTTTAATTAAATCAAACTTGGACTTCCGACAAACTGACAATGGATCAATTTACTCTCGGCCCGAACGCGTCAGTGAAGTGGATTGACGTCTCGCCAATACTTAATAGCGCGAGGCGTTATATTTAAAGGCATCGTCTCCATCACGGTCGATTAATAGACGTGGGTGCAAGAATCAGACCGTCGATGACTAGAATCCTGATACCACAATGGCAAATTCCTAGACGTTCTTGTACCGTTCACTTCTTCGGTAATACCGCGAAAAGTACACCACCACCACGTTCATGTCGATGTCGTTTTGTATCAGAACCTTCAGCCACATGTTACCATTGTGCGGTTGCGCTCGTTGTGTACGCTTCGGCGCATAAACGCTTTTCATCAAACTGGCAATTTAGAGTGATTTATAGCGGATGGCGCCTACCACACAAAAATTGTTGAGTCAGGCAAATTGACATCTCGCTGGAAGTCTTCGTCTGCGACCTCGTTGCCGATGCCCCGTAATTGTAACAGTGTTTGCGAGATTACGGTGTCAGTCTGGCACAATGCCGTTTAATCAGCGAGTAAATCTCCTCCTCCTCCTCACCATCATCATCAATTTGATCATCATCATCATGGTCGTCGACAAAATTTTATCGCAATTAATAGGAAACGCGTCGCTCGAAGAAGAAGAAGAAGACGATCGGCGTCGACCACGATGCTCGCAGCTGATGAACCTTATGGGATATTCAGGTCGTCTTTGAGGTCATGACCCGGATGCTGGCTCATCCCATTAGATTCACACGTGGTTTAAGTAGCGGCTATTATTTTGTGTTTTCTACCGCGCCGCGATCTTCGGTGAAATTCGATGTTAAGTCGATTGAAGAACGGTGTAAGTCGTAAAAACGATTTTAGTACCGAATAAGGACGTTTTAGTGTTTCTATTATTTCAAATCGAACAGAAAAATTCATTTTCAAGATATTCTTATACGGTTTGGTTTCTAAATGTTAAAGTGGGAATGAAAAACGAATTGGGTAATTAATTTCGTGGTGTAATGAAGAGAAAATGTGGTATCTAAAGATAGATTAATTTGCCGTTTGCAATTTAAATGAAGAAACCAAATCCAGTCATAAAATTTGTTAATGAAAGTTTTTAAGATATTTTATTACACGATTTCTTTCTAATAACTTGAATTAACCTCCTGTTAGTATCCAGCACCACTAAATTAATTTTTTTTTTGACTCATGACTTCCTGTAAGATTATAAAACAGAAAGCAAGTTTTTATGACTTGACATTTCACTTCTAAGACCTATTGTCATCATTTCGCATGAATTTACGACCACAAGAAGACGTCAAAAAAAGAGAAAAAAAATTAGTTTACCGCCGGTTTTCACACGTCCCATTTGCCAACTCGTCGAATCAATAAAGCGTTTAAGCTATAGAAAGTTAAATTTGGGAGAGAATCGTAATGACACACCAAGTTCGCCGGTTGTTTCTCGGAAGCCGGGTTTATAGCTCAACTCGCGGTACTCCTATTCTAATAAAACGTTCAAGTTTACAACGAATCGCCCGTAAAGACCGCTTTTAGTACGGTCTGGGTTAACGCGGCGAAGAGATCTGGTGCGAACAGACCGCGTTCATTAAGCAATAAAGTGCTTAGGGTTTGTTACGGACAGCGCGCGGTTTTCAGTTTTAATTTTCCGGATGGAAAAAGTCGTTCGGTTCGAGACCGTGTTCTCGGTTTATGGTACCGCGGGAAATTTCGCGCTGCGAAACAAATTCGTCTTTAATAGACACGTAAGAAGCGAACGCTTTTTGCAATTAAACTTCACTAGATTTTATCGTTCTTAATTCGAGGCATGTCGACGTTGAGATCGTCGCAATTACGCCGTTCGACCGCGATGGAACGCAACATTTGGGCTACTATTTCCTATTTAATTTAATAATTACAACTAGAAACTTTCATATCAATGCTTGTCTGTACTCTTCGCAATTTCTATATAGCACGATTGAAGAGGATATTAAAGAAAATTGTATTTAAAGAAAATTGATGAAAACGTGGGAACTAAGATTTTAAACGGTTTTAACAGAAATATCAATTTTAGAGAAACGGTATTTTTTTTAACATTAATCATAAAAGATTTGATGTTTAATGTCAAGATTCTTTATAAGTATGTTCCCAGTATATTTGAACTGTTTTGTTATGACGGAACAAAGATAGTATAAAGGAAATACTTTAGCTTAATTATATGACGTAATTACAGGAATCAATCTTCGAGGTGTTCACATTCAAAAAATGAGCA